TGAACTGATTTTGCATTGTCTCTTGGAGTTCCTTGGGCTAGGCCTGACATTGGTACAGTTTTACAGGGGAATCATTGAGTCTGTTATCTGTTCCTCTATAACTGTCTGGTTTGATTCCGCAACCAAACAGGACAGACTCAGACTCTAATGGATAGTTAAGTCTGCAGAAAGGATAATTGCAACCCGCCTACCTTCTATAGAAGAACTGTATACTGTGAGAATCAAAAGGAAGGTGGAGAAGATAACTGCAGACTTTTCACATCCTGGATATAAACTGTTTCAACTTCTTCCTTCAGGACAGAGCTATAGAGTACCGTATGTTAAAACATCTAGACACCAGAAGAGTTTTTTCCCTTGTGCCATTGCTCTGTTAAACACTACATGATACAATATGTGCTGGACAGTGGCTTCTCCTTTTGAAAATGAACAGGTGTTGGTCCATAGCGGTAGTGTTGTTTTACTGTGTAGCGTTACTGCTTATTATCATTCCTTCTTTTTGCTGTTATCCAAACACACTGTTGCTCTTGTTGCTTCTTTTTTCACCAAAGATAAATTCCTTGTATATATTTTATACTTGGCCATTAAAATATTCTGTATTCTGTTTTAACTTTAATTTGTGGAATATGATTCACGTATCGGGCAAACTCACAGAGACTATTGCCTGCTTTCAGAAAACCAGTTGAGTGGAAAGTAGCCAAATCTTGGATGGCTTAATGGAATGGATGAGCCCAGCCACGGAGGAGGGTTTATCCTTCAAGGATTCTTGGCTCCTTCCTAAGAACAGGATTTGATACTAACAGAAGGACAGGTTGCCCTCAAGCTGGTTCTTGACCATAACAATGTTTGAAGATCTTCCAAGAACTTTATTTTTTTTTTAAACTCAAGGTGCTAAAGAATCTATACTTGCCCAATGTACTAATTCTATATGCCAGTTATGGCCAGTTTATATATACTTTCATAATATAGTGAAGATTTGTTTTTCAGAAACTCATTTTCAACCTCATACTCTTTTTCTGAAGGATCCCCAGGAGCAGTCCATTTTCAGTAGAGTTTGATTACAAAATCCACTCAATATTCATGAACAGCTGATGGCTCTTCTGGCCAGGCACCCTTACCCTTACTCCTTCTATTCTACCAAGAGGTAACGTGTGGTTTGACCCTTAATGTCCCAACAGCTTCTGCTTGAATGGCCAATGCTAAGAAACTGTGAAAGTGTAATCCAAACCAGGGGAAGTAGAAGGTTGCTTGCTTCTCTCAGTAATTGCTAGGACAGATTGAGCATAACCTGTCCTTGATCCCTCTGCTTCCTCCAACATGAATCTCCTGAATCTCTATTTTCTACTAGCCAAGACTCAAATTAGGCTCACGTTCTGAGGAAGGCTGGAGTTATGTACCATGCAGTTAGTTCTTTCCTCTATGAAGGGAGTTGCTGGCCTACTTCCAGCCTTACACTAAACAATATGATTTGCCATCCTGCTCCAGAACAAAGCTGGCCTTCTCATAGTCAGCATTAGGTGTTTGAGAGGTCCAGGCGAACTAGAAGAATCTCCTTCAACCTGCTCGTTTTTCCAGATTAGACCTTTCATCAGAGTGGCAAGGCTGGTGAACTCCAATTTCAGAGAGATGTATGAGACCAGACTAATAATAAAACCCACAAGCAGCAGACGCAGCTACCTGCTGAAATGATGTTGGCCATATGATGGCACTCTCATTGATGGACAGCTTGACTTCTGAAGAGGCCACACTTTCAATCTTTCCAATTTTTACTCCACCAGTAGACCAGTTGGGAAATACTGCCCAGTGTATGATATCAAAATCAGCAACAGGAATTCCATTCTCATCCAAATAAACATCATCTCCTGAAAGATTATAAAGCTGGTACTTTCTCAGAAAACGATGAAGCTAGAAAGACATGGAAAATTACCCTGTACCATCTATATTCCCATTTGAGCCGCAAGTCAAAACTAGGCTACTTCAGCTTATTGCACCTGTCTGCAAACGTTGGGTGGCAGAATCTAGTCAAGGATTTACCCTCTCTCTCCTTTTGGTTGATCACTCTGGCCTGCTCTTTTTTTATAAAGTTCCTAATCTCAGGTTACAAACCTATTTTGACTCCAGTAATCAGATGCTGTGTAAAGTGACCATCTCACTATGACTGCTTCTCCACCCTTGGTCTAAAATGCCAACCTGCCCTTCTGTCAGCAAAAGCAGTATTCCAATTTGGCTTTTCTGGGACATCAGCTCATATTTGGACCATCTTCTTTGATGGATGTCAAAATCTCCAAATCTCTTTCCCACCCAACCCTGCCCCCTGTACAATTGTTCCTATCCACCCCCCACCCCTGCCTTTGTCCTCATCATTTACTGGAATGCTAATATTTGGATGCCTAAAAAGAAATGTTCAGCTTCAGCACCTCCCCTCTTGAAAATTCTGCTTTGTACCATTTCACCATTGATCACTTCAGATTTGCATAGCGTTCCCTCTTTCTTCTTTTATGTTTATTTCTGAAGGACGGAGGAAGAGCAGGGAATAGCCTTGGGATCTGCTCCTCCTTGAAAAGCCAAATGAAGAAGAAAAATAATGATGGTGAGTGCCAGTCTATGCTCAACAGGCCTCAGTCAGAGAGAGACCAACCAACCTTGTTCTTTCTTGAAGATGCTGAGCAGAGGCATAGATGTAAGACCTTCCTGCTGTGGCAGGACAGGAAATGAGAACCAATCCCCTGGTCTAAGAACAAGATAAGGCCAATGTGGGATGATCAAATGAGAACATGGTGCTTACTCTGTCATTGTGGTGATTATTTAATCTTCAAAAGGAGAATGAGCCTTTTTCTCTTTTTGAGATAGCACTCCCTGTACCATGTTCTGTCCTTCCCATTTCGAAAAGATAACAGAAGAATTGAAGCGGGGCCATCAGTGGAACCTCGAAGGAGAAGTCTTACCTGCCCAGGTGGTAACATCTGGGGTACGAGACGGTCTCGAACCTGCATCCTCCCCCTATTCAGTTGGGAGGAATAGGCAGCATTTAGGGCCATGGAGACAGCCTGAATTGCAGTAGAAATACTGGCGGCATCTTCGAAGAGGATTCTTTCAACTATATCACGGGGTGGAAATTCCCAGTTCTCTTTTTCTGTCAGTCTTACCCAAACCTTTTTGGCTAACACAGGGCTTGAATGGGAATACTGAAATGCTGTTTTCACAAACTGATCAATACTAAAGGAATCTAAGTGAAAATGACCATATGGTGTCCTTTGTCTGGCCTGAGTTGACAAGGATAACAAAAGATGTTTATGATAGAGATCAACATATTTGTAAAACGATTTGACCCCTATGTCTGTCAAAGCAGTGGCAATCCACACTTTCTCCCCAAACCCTTTTGGATCATATTCCAACTCTGGTATTGTTAATGCTAGGAGTAGAGCAGCCTGGAAGTCCAAATAACATACAATAACTTTTACTTCACTGTGGATAAAATGAAGACTTTTCCCCATTTTTGTCTCTTTATCAAACAATTGGATGTCTTCTGAGAAGGCAACACAAACCCCTTCCTTTATGGCTTCAAGCGCAAAAGAATTTCTGAAGTTTTCTCCATTTTCATTGTCGGGAACAAAGAGGCCGATCCACGTCCATCGGAAATGCAGGAGCAGCTTGACAATGGCCAAGTGAGGAGGCTCTTGTTTTGGAATCATCCGGTAGAAGAAAGGAAAAAGATGTTTCTGCTCCGGAATGTGGCTGATGACCCCGTAGCTGATCTAGGTTGAAAGAGAAAAGATGGATGATTCTCTTCCTCTTGGAGAGAAGAAGGAGTGCTGAAATCTAAGGGCCTTTCCCCTTTGC